GCCTCATCTTTCTCCCATGGGATGGCTGGTAGATTTTAACTGCTGACCTTGAGATTAGCAGTCTGATTCATAACCACTGTGTTACCCGAGCTCCTCCTTGGTGGATTGAGCATTCCCGTTTTACCTGGAAGAGGCTGGTAACATTAACATGCCCCTGGCCACCAGCTTGTGAGGGGTGGAGCTGACCTAAGCCCAGGTAACTGTGAGGCTCTGTGCCTCCCCTGAAATTATCAACTCTCAGTTGCCCTATGTGAAAAATGGGGCAATTTTACTGCCTGCTGCGTATAATGTAAGGTTTATACCAGGTAATGCAGAGAAAGCACTCAGTTCAGTTGGTGGCTTGATGAACTTAAGTCCTGCAATGCCGCTTACCACCCTCTCTTCCTGGGTGTTTCCAGCAGGGCCACCAAACCTCACTGGGCCTCTGACTCCCTTTCTCTGGGACCTGGAGTTATCACATCTTCATGACAGGCGAGCTGCTCTGGCCAGTGAGAGAGCAATGGTGATGTGGGGGACCACGTTCCTCTGGCTGGAGAATCAATAATGTGGCCGGTCTCAGGCTGAGTGGAGCTCCCCCAGCCCCCACTCTTGCTTCCCACATGTGGTAATTAAGCTTACAACATCCAGTGTAAGCAAATAATAACAAGGGCTTTATCTCCCCTTAGTCTGTGTTTTTCTTGCCTATCATAAAGTAATTAAAATAATGAATGCCTTGTAAAACAATAGGTAAGAGGCTGGCAAGATAGCATTATCTGCCATATCCCTCTTGTGCTGTGAATTATTGATGCATTAAAACTGCTGGGACTCTGGAGACTCCCTGCCTCTTAACCTTTCTGAGCTCCTTTCCCTCCTCCCTCCAAGTCGGCCAGGTGGCTTGGAGCTGAGCCCCCAGGGTGGAGGAGCAGCGAGTTTATGTCTCCAGAGGCCCCGGGAGTGGCCCTAGACCAGTTCCTAAAAGCCTCTGGAGACATTACTGGAAAGGGAACACAGAGAGAGGCCTTAGATAACTTTCCTTTTTTTTCTGTGTTCCCATTATTCTCCAGTTCTGCCCTTGGGTGCAGGTGGTGGCGGCGGCGGTGTCACCGAGTTGGTTCTGACTCAGGACCCTGTATAGGATTTCTGAGGCTGTCAATCTTTACAGGAGCAGAAAGCCTCATTGTTTTTCCCGCATGGAAAGACCGGTAGATTTGAACTACTGACCTTGTGCTTCGTAGCCCTGATCGTAATCCACTGTGCTACCAGGGCTCCTTGGGTGGGTGCAGGAAGGGGTCAGAAAGGAGCTGGGGGTTAAGCTCCAAGGTCCATTTCAGATCAGGGCAGCAAGCGACAAGCCATCCCAGGATGACAAGAAGCAGTGCTTCTCAAAGTGGGGTCCCCAGACCATCACCAGCAACAACAGCATCACCTGGGATTTTGTGAGAAATGCGGATTATCAGATCCCACCCCAGATTAACTGAATCCCAAACCAGCGATGGGGCCCAGGCTCTATGCTTTAACAAGCCCTTCTGGTGATTCTATGGCACACAAACATCTGAGAAACCCTGATTTATAAGGTGGCATGAAGAGAGCGAGGGGTGTTGAGATTAATGGAACATGTGTTATATACGAGTCTGGAAAAAGCCCTCACACCCGCTGCCATTGAGTAAACAACTGCAAGGCTGTTAGTTCTCCTTGGGAGAAAGATGAGTTTTGCTCTATACTCTAGGGTAACTGTGAGTCAGAATCATATGTTGATGTTTTGTTGTTAAGTGCTGGCCAGTCGGGGTTCCGATTCAGGGTTTCCAAGGAGCAGCTGATGAGTTTGAACCGCCAACCTTGCGGTTCAAATTGACCTCGTGGTCCAGTGTTTATCATACAGCACCACGAATCCCGGCAATTCTTGTGTGGCAGGAAGTGCTGTCCCCAACTTTCAGGTGAGGCAGGGTGGTCCCTCAGACTGTACAGTCTCTGGGGGCAGCAGACCTAGACTTGGATCTTCAGTCAACACCTTTGTTTTCTGAGGTTGCTCCTGGGTCAAGGCTACTGCTGCTTCCTGTGTAGTCTCAACATTTCCCAGGTACAGGGACCAGAATAAGTCCTGTATTGGAGGCATCCCTCAAGTGTGTCTACCCAGTGGCCTTCCCTCCCAGGGCATCTTTTGGGCTGTTCTAGCTTCAAAGGGCTTAACATCCTTAGAAATACAACCTTACCATCCGTTGCTGCTGCCGTGTCTTCCCCAGTGCTTCCTCTGAACCAGAGTCAGGGGCACCTTCCTGCCTGCCCTAAGTCCCGAGGATGATGACTCATTGTCTGTGGCCCCACCACCTGCCTCCCACTCTCCCCTCTCCTGCCTCTCCTCACTGCAGAGAGATTTTATTACTGCTTCCTGCCTGCCCCTCCATTGCCCCAGTCACCACAATCCCCAGTGCCAGTTTGTTTTGGAAATTAATTCCACAGTTTCAAATGATGAACATAATTTGCTGGCATATTTTTTAAAAAACTTCTGCTGTAATAGTCTCTGTGGGTATTTGATTAGGGGGCTCAGTGAAATCTAAATTTTAGACAAGTAACATATCAGGTTTTTATTATAAGTGGGTCCCATGCAATATGGCAGGTCAAACCCACCCATGAGAGGAAGTCCCTGGTAATCTGCTTCTATAAAGACTATTGTTGTAAAGATTTTGACTCACAGTGACCCTGTATTGTCTTTTTGAGGCTTTAAAATTGTGTGAGTAGAAAGCCTCATCTTTCTCCTATGGACCAACTGGTGGGCTCGAACCGCCGATCTCGTGGCTTGAAGTCCAGTGCTTATTCTTTGGAGCCACAACTTAGAAAAATCCTATGGGGTAGTTCTACTCATGCAGTAGCTAAAAATCAAACACTGACTTGATGGCAGCTGCTCCGTGGGAGAAGGATGAGGCTTTCTACTCCCGTAAAGATTTACACCCTTGGAAACCCTGTACAGGGTCGCTATGGGTCGGAACTGACTCGACGGCACTTAACAACAACAACAACAACAATAACATGCAATATTAGAGACCTACTTACACTAAATAATTATTTGTTATTTAAATGAAATTCAGATTTCACTGGGTAACACAGTCTGGGCTCTAGCCAGTTGAAGGATTATTATTCATGACATTTTTTTATTTTCTTTCTTTATTTCATTCACTTACATTTTAAGCAATCTTTCAGGTACTGGGAATACAGCAATGAACACAGCAGACAAAAATCCCTGTCCCCAAAAAGCTTACTTTACGTAGTAAGAAGCCAGGGGGTAAAAGAAATCAATGAATTATAGCATATACTAAAGGGTTTGAAAGGTACTCTGGTGGCATAGTGCATTATTCATTGGGCTGCTAACCTCAAGGTCAGCAGTTCAAATCCACTAGCTGCTCCACAGAAGAAAGATGAAGCTTTCTGCTCCTATAAAGATTTATATCCTCAGAAACGCAATTCAGGGTTGCTATGTTTTGGAACAGACTCGACGTCACACAACCATTAACACCACCAAAGGTTTTTAATGCTATAGAGAAAAGTTAGCAGGAAAGGCGATGCTACTGGAGAGCAGGGTTGCTATTTTAAATGGGAAAGACTTCAGAGAAAATGATTTTGAAGGTTGAAGGAGGTGAGGGGGGTAAGCCATGACCCTCTGTGCAAGAAGAATGTTCAAGGCAAGGGGCAAAGACACACAATTTAAGGTCATGTGTGGGACTTTATTCTCTTGTAAGGACAGCTTTGTTTCCTTAGCACGGTTTCAGCAATCAACGAAGTATTTCTTGTGTTCTGGAGTTGAAAAGGTCTGGTGTGGATTTCAGGCATAGTTGGTTCCAGGTGTTCAAATGGTGACACCAGTATTCATTTGCTTCTACTTTCTTCTTTTGGGGTTCATTCTCAGGGAAGGGTTGCCTTTTCTGCTGTGGTTAGTGCAGCCCAATTGCTGTTGCTAGAGGGTCCCCAGTCCTGGAGCTGCTGTAACTGTAAATACCTTCTGACCCACATGGACTTACGAATTTCCTCAGAAACCTAGGGTGTTGCCATGAGGGGGACATGAGATGGCACAGGAGGAAGTGCTTACTCTCTGGGTTGGGCCTGTTTGCTTCGTCTCAGGGATTTGGGGAATATTTTCTTTAAAGAGGGCCGAGAATCATGTCTTTCTTTCTCTCACAATAATATTGCGAAGAAATAGAAGATTTTTTTTTTTTTTTAACATTACAGCTGTTTATTTGAATACCAATGTATATAGATATATATTTTTTCTAGCATGCACACAATTTAATTTCTCCTCTTGGGAATTTTCAAGGGATTTTGAACCTTGATGGTGAGAATCCCAGAACAAGGGTAAAATGAATCCATTTTATTGCAAACAAACGTCTAAATTAATTTCTCCACCCACTTTCTTTAGAAAGGAAAAAGAATATTTATTTAAATACTTAAAATATAATATTTAAGAAAATCATCTGTCATTAAGTATGTGGCGCTATAGATTCAGCACTGGGCTGTGAACCACAAGGTCAGCAGCTAAAACTCACCCAGCCGCTCCTCGGAAACCCTACACAAGGTCGCCATAGGTTGGAACCGAATCTACGGCACTTAACAACAACAAGAATAGAAAAGCTTTCAAACAAAACAGAACTAAGTCATCAAAGCCATCCCCCTCCCTCTAGACTGGATGTGGCCCATGGTTTGGAGCACCTGTCTGCATGGTTTTGAACACTGTCCTTTCAACATTCATCTGTGGATCGCTTCTCCATTCACCTGTGTCAGGGGGATCCCCAGCCCTGCACACAGTAACATGCACTCCAGCGTGTCTACTCTGCACACACGTCACCCTGCGTGCACCCTGGTGAACAACACAGAGTCCTTGCTGGCCCTTGTTATGTTCTGCATCACCCCCTTGTGCTTTCTGGGCAGACGGAGTGCCTCTGGAATCCCTTTGGGCTTTGATTCTTTAGGGGCGTGTGATGCTTTTAAAGTCCAGTTGGTCCCTGTGTCTTAACCTTTGTTCTCTTTGTCGCCAGGAGGCCCAGAAGATTAACAATGGCTCAAGCCAGGCCGATGGCACTCTCAAGCCCACGGATGAAAAAGAAGAGACGGTAGCAGCTGAAGTGGGCTGGATGACCTCTGTGAAGGACTGGGCAGGGGTGATGATATCAGCCCAGACGCTGACGGGCAGAGTCCTGGTGAGTCCTTAGCACCCGGCTCTCAGGATGAGGCTTTGGTGTCTGTTCTCTGATTACTTTGTTTATACAGAGGTGACGTTTTCCCTCGGCCTTCTCTGGAACTTCGGCGGTTGGGGATGAGGGGCACCGAGTGCTTTTGTGTTGTTGGCACTGGGAAACGCTGTGTCCTTGGTGTACATCTAAGCCTTGTGGTCTGCAGAGGGGTTGGATGTGGACTGGAAAATACACATGTCACCGCCATCATGAAGAGGGCTGAGGAAACTGCCCACAGATCTTCAGGGGGTCCATAAATGCTGGAAATCATCCAGAGACTTCTGAGTGCTGACATGTGTGTAACTGTGTACATGTATGCACACGTGTGTGTGTGGTCAAGCCCTACTGGGAAGGCTCTGTTGTCCTCTGGCCCCTCTGGGACAGTTTTCTGATCTCTGTCCTGCTTACAGTGGAATCCTGCAGTTATCCAGACGATGACATTCATGGGCAGCCCACCTGAGGCTGCCTGGCCCCATGCTTGGAGCATTGCTCATGGCTCCTTATATCTGATGAGTTGTCTTTGAAGCCCATATGTCCCTTCTCAGCGTTTCTTATGTTTTTTGTGATCTGTTTGTTATGAACCTTGACGTCACCTGCTGGTCTTAGGAACTCTGGTTTTTACAAGTATCCTGGGTGGGACCAACAGTGACAAACTATTTCACTTTGACTGGGACTGAGGGCTTCCGGGTGCAAGAAACTGTCAGGAATCCTGAGAAAATGGGGATGATTTAGTCACCCTAGGCAGACCCATAGTCCTACAGTATGTAGGGTCCTTCTCCAGTGGTAACCTTGCCAACTGGCTTTCTTGGGTCTGCTGTGGGTCAGGACTTTCCCTGAGAATGGTGCATTCTGGGTGGTTTCTCATTTTTTTCCTGGTGACTCTGGACGCTGTTTTGGGAGGACCGCCCTTCCTGGGCCTGAAGCTGCAGCTCTGCCATGAGTCACTTAGACCATAGACAGAGGGACCAGGGATGGCTTCAAGACTGTGTAGATCAAAGACCGTGTAGAAACAATGGATAGTGCGTGTCCTGACCTCCAGCATTTCGTGGCAAAAGCTTAGTGAGGAGGTGAACATAGGTGCCATGTGGTGGTATGAATTCTGTTTATCAGAACACTTCTTGGGGAGAACTCTATGTTGTTTGTGATCTCTCACAAACTGCTTGAGGAAAGGAATAAGGCCAAGGGTGATGGCCAACCAATCTTCAAGAAGACTAACTTCTGTCCACCAAGGGACTCGATTGCTGAGTCCCCTGAAGACTTTGAATGTGAAGCTCAGGCTGATGTGAATGGATGGCAGAGAGAAAGGGAGAGAGGAGTTGGTGGTGGTAAGAAGACAGAGACGTGGGAAACCTTGGTGGGATGGGCCTAGGCAAAGCTAGGCAGCCCTGAAGTGTTTGCTGAGGTGTGTCACCATGCTGTGGACCCTCCCTCGTTCATCTTACTCCCGGTTCTTAAGTGAAGTCTCCATAGCTCTGTTGTGCTTGTATCTAAGTGGGTTCTGCGAGGAGAACTTAGAGAGCTATTGAATTCTAGATGTGAGATTCACATGGAGTCAAGTGAGGCTGTGCGTTCTACATGTGCATGGTGATGGTGGGTGAGGACCAGCTGACAGATCTGACACACAAATTTTGTCCTTGCTCCTTCCATAGGTACCTTCATTAGTATTAACTAGCAGTTATTGCGTACCACCTCTGGGTGAGGCATTATATTTTTAGCCCCGTGGAAAACAAGAGATGTTCTTGGTTCCATTCTGTCATGCATGGGAGTTGTTGCAGAAGTGACTGGGGTAATTACAGTGAGTGACTGTGAGCAATCTGGGTGTGTGTGTGTGTGTAAGGAGTTGGGGGATCCAGAAAGCCTTCGTAGTCAGCCAAGTCCTTCAGTGAAAACTTTCAGGATGAATGGCACGTGCTGTAGCACTCCTTCTTTATGAACCCTAAAATACATATGATAGAGACGATGTGTATCTGTATCATCTTCTCTTCCCTATCATATTGTTGTTGGTGTTGAGTGTCACCGAGTCATTGCTGACTCACAGTGACGCTGTGTAGTACTTCTGAGGAGCAACTGGTGCAGCTCCAGGGTTGTAGACACAAAGCCATTTGTAAGGAAGCCAGGCTGCAGAGCAGCGTGCAGAAGGCTTATGGGGTCTTTAAATGTCTAGCTTTGAAATTTTATAGGAAAAGGAGATTTTGAGGATAGTAGAACCACGATTGGCTATTTTACAGAGAGAGCTGGAGGAAGGTGGAACCTGATTGGCAGGTAGGAACTCAGAGGTCCTGGGACCAGTTTGGATAGTGTGCTGCAGGCACTGGTACTAGTGGAAAGGGGCTACCTACAGTGGTGCAGGTGAGGCAGGGCACCGCATAAGGAACAGCTAGCTACCTTGCTACTTAACCACTAAATACGGAACCCCAGTTGCTTTCAAGTCGACTCTGACTCATGGGGACCCCATGAGTGTCAGACTAGGATTTTCAATGGACGGTTTTTGGAGGTTAGATCACCAGACCTTTCCTCCGAGGTACATTTTGTGTGGACTTGAACCGCCAGCCTTTTGGCTACATTAAGCATTTACACCACCAGAGATCGAAAAACCAGTTGCTGTTGAGTTGACTCTGTCTGATTCATGGGGACCCCATGTGCATCAGAGTACATCTGTGCTTCATAGGGTTTTTGGTGGCGGTGGTGTGTCATCAACTCTGTTCCAACTCATAGGGACCCTCTGTAGGGTTTCCGAGGCTGACAATCTTTATAGAAGTAGGAAGCCTCATCTTTCTCTTGCGGAGCGACTGGTAGATTTGAACTGCTGACCTTTTGGTTAGCAGTCCAACAGATAAGCCACTGTGCTATAACGGTTCCCATAGAGTTTTTAGTGGATGATCCTTCAGAAATAGAATGCCAGCTCTTTTACTGAGACACCTCTGAGTGGAATTGAACCACCAGCCTTTTAGTTAGCAGCTAAGGGTATTAACCCTACTGCTACTGACAGCACTGTGGAGCACGTCTCTCCTGTGAACAAACCACTCTGCTCCGCTTTGTACCTTATCCTCAGCTTGAAGGGCAATGACCATGCCATGTTAGTTTAGTGTTTCCCACAGTGCTGTTGGTATTATTGGTATTTATTATTTGTTATTGTCATTGTTAAGTGTTGTGGAGTCGGTTTTGACTCACAGCAGTCCTGTATTGGGTTATCCAGGAGAGGCTGAGCGTTCATTACAAGGAAGCAAATCAATTAGTCTTCTCAATAAATCCATCTCCATCTTACAGTTGAGACAATCAAGGCACAGAGAGGTTGGTGACCTACCCGATAGCCTGCAGTCTGCTAGTGCGAGAGAGAAGCCAGGCCTTTCGGACCTCCTGACTCCCAATCTAGTGCTCTTTCTGCCACATCACTGCACGTCAGAGATCATGCCTCTCCTGTTCTAAGCCAGTGCCAGCTGTCACTTTTGGCTGTGGCCTTTGTGACATCACATCTTAGAACCTTAGAGTGCTTGGACCAGTTCTCTCAATATTTGCATGCCCAGGCATGGACTGCGCAAGTTACCAGCTGGTCTCTAAAGGTTTCCGTGAAGAAAATTCTGCTCCAGCTATTCTTGCCCACTCAAAAGTGGAGGGTTACTGCACACGGAGAAGGCGTCTCAGGGTTCCAGAAAGTTCCATTGAAACAGGAGGCTCCCCCCAAGGAGAACAAAGCAGGTGCTTGCTCTGAGCATGTGGAAGTTGCAGAACATGAGAGAAAGCAACTGTGCCCGGTCAGAGCCCAAAGCTGTGCTTGTTTAAGGTGTCCACATGTTTACCCCTGCAACACCGGGACTGAAGCAAGACGAGTCGTCTGGCTCTGCAGAATTTCCCTGTTCATTTTTAATTTGTTTTCCTTGATGCATGGCACAGGACCTTGGTCTCCTTATATGGCCCCTTTCTCACCTTCTTCATGGACACAGGTGAGAATCCCAAAGTTGGGGATTCTCCGTAGATGCTCACCTTTGGTTCAGATCCTCGGGATCTCTAAGGGCTGAGCACATCAGACATTCAGTAAGTGCTTATTTCTCACCTGCCATGCACCATACAAGGATCCCTGGTGGTACAGTGGGTTCAGCACTGGGCTGCTGACTACATGGTCAACAGTACAAATCCACCAGCAGCTCAGCAGGAGAAAGATGAGGCTGTCTGCTCCCATGAAACCCTATGGAGCAATTCTACTCCGGCCAATGGGGTCACTGTGATAGTTAATGTTTTATGTCAACTTGGCTTGGCAGGGATTCTCAGTGGTTCAGCAGTGAAGATGTAGTTAGGATGAGCTCTAAGGAGACACAATCACCTTACGTTGTGATGTGATTATCCTGTGTGTTGTAAATCCTCACTTCTGAGTGTGAATGAGGCCAGATGCAGTCTATAGGACAAGGTTGTATCCTGTGACAATCTCTTTTGAGATATAAAGTGAGAGAGAAGCGAGCATTACTTACATAGTTGTTACAAATCGGGCTGCGAACCAGAAGGTCAGCAGTTCCAAACTACCAGCTGTTTCATGGGACAAAGATGAGGCTTTCTGCTTCCATAAAGATTTACAGCCTCGGAAACCCTGTACAGGATCGCCATGAGTCAGAACCGACTCCACGGCACACAGCCACCACCACCACCAAGATTGAGGAGCCGGGGGTGGAGTTTGTCCTTTGGACCTGGGGTCCCCGCATAGTGACACACCTAGATCCAGGGGAAGGTTGATGCCAAGGCATCTGTAGATCTCCAAGGATTGCTGGGCCTACAGAGGCTGAAAGGAGACAAGGACCTCTCCGGCTTCCCCCAGAGCCAGCACTCCAAATTTGGACGTCTAGTCTCTCAAACTGTGAGACAGTCTGGTTGGTAAAGCCTGCCGCTGGTGGTGTTTCTGCCCGAGCAGCACTGGAGAACTAAGCCAGCTGCTACTAGTTACAATCAATGTGACGGCTGTGGAGTATGGGTTCACACTG